GTATCTTGCCCCTGCGCTGGTCTTAACCTAATTCCTTCCTCCCTCCTTGCTCCCCCATATCCACCATGGCTATCAAGTCAGGCACAAGGATGTCAGACTTACCAGCTTTTCACCACAAAATACAGCACTTGCTAACAGATATCTCTGTGAGAGGAGGCAGGATTTGTCCCTCAAGAGATACTTCTTACTAAATAATATCACTGTTTTATCTGTGAGTATAAACACTGGTTTTGTCTCTTAATGACTGTTTCTGTTTTACTGCTGCTTCCCACCAGGAAATTGACTACTAACATAATTAGCAGATGATTGCATGGGGGAGGCTGAAATCTTTACCAGCTGTTTTAAGGCACTCTGTAACAAATCTTCTCCAGTGCTTAACACCTAAAGTAGTTGAAGGATGTTCTTTCCAACAACACAGATCATGGGACCATTGGGTAAAGACATATGGGAAGGCCTTAACATGCTCAGTTAGTTGAGAGGAGAGAGGAAAAAATAAAACAAACAAACAAAAAAGGAGGAATCCCATTTTAAAGCATTTAGTGGATTAGTACGAGTTCTTGTGTGGACTAAATGTACCACAGAAATCAGTACAAAAGATCAACTTTACTAGTGCAGTCTAGAAACTGGATGTGTAGCACTGAGATGCCTAGCAGAATTATCATATAATAAAGATACTTTAAAACTGGACATTTCATATGCTTCAAGTGATCTATTTCTTTGTTACAGGATAAAAGGGAGACAATAGGAACCAGTGTTTTTTACCACTTCTTGTAGAAGAGTCATTCTGAGAGTAATGCACAGTGCAGCACAGAAGTTTACCATTATAAATAATCATCATCATTGGCTGTGATAGAATAATAATCATAAAATTAAGAGAGAAACCATTTGGGAAGGAACTGCTTCAGTTCCCCAAGGAATACTATAGTGTCTGCCAGATGTAAAGTAGCATGTATCAAGTTCTAGATGGAAAAATAAGAGCTTTAGAGTATTAAGTGTATAATTAAGTAATGATTGAAGTACCAAGCACATTTACAAATGGTGCACCATCTTGTCCCAGAGGAAGACTACTTGATCTGTCAGAGTTCTGAAGCTGCCACACTTAAAGCTTTTCTGCACAAGAAAATTCTGCTGGGGCACACCACCAAAGTCTTCTAAGAAAAGATACGGATATAAAAATACTGAAGTGTTCCTCCTCTTTTTATGTCTTTCTCCCAATTCCCATTTCTGGTAGTTTAAGTAGACTACAGAAAAAATGGTTTTTTGCTTTCACTGCTGTCATAAGAATGATGTCAGAACAGAAATTAACTTGACGCTGACAGAATTGTTACCTCATCTCCCTCCCTTCCACACAAAGAAATGCATTCCCCTTTTTATCTACAAAAGGGACCTAATCCTACATAAGTTTAGAAGGAAGGTGAGCTCTGAGACACATTGAGAACTTATGCATGTGGGACTCCACTCCTACACTTGCCATGTAAGCATAAACTTGGACTTTCAAGTGTGGCTGATGCAGTGGCTTTACAAATGCTATCATTTTTCTTTTTTTTTTTTTTTAATTTAGGTGGCGCTGCACAGTGGGAAAGGGCTTGGCCTGTACATGCAGCAATTTTTTCAGGTTTTAGGGCAACTGAAGTTTTCCAGCTACAACTGTGTAGAGTCTCACTGCAGATACTATGAAAACATTTAGTTTTTCGGTGAATTAATTAGACCATTCGGATCTTGAGCAGTTTCAATCAAAATCAAGCTTCTAAAATAGAACTTAGGCTTCTAAATCGCTTAATTTACTTTGAAAATTTACTTATGATGATAATTCAATATAAATTTGGCAATATTTGCTGAAGTCCTCTTACTTTGTAGCTTCTGTTAAATAAAGAACTCATAAAAGTTAAATTGATGTCAAAATGACAGAAGTATTTCTTAAAGGAAAGAGGAGGATTATTTTGAAGAAAACAATAGAACCTTCTTTTGAGGAAATTTATAATAGAATTTTTGTGTGAGTTGAATCTAGACTCAGATATTTTAAATCATTTGATTCAGAAATGTGTGGGCTTTTTATCCTCTTTTAGTTTAGCAATCTCAGGTGATTTCCAAAACAAAAGTCAAAGGGAGGGCTTTACTCAGTAATTCACACTGACAAATGACTGTTAAAGTGCCTTCTGAGACTTACAGTAGGGAGTTGTTCCTTGAAAGTCACCAGTCAGCATGACAGCAAGCAGCATACAATTGTCCAAGTGATGTGTGGAGGTGTTCTGTATTATCTGAATCTTTCCTTCCAAGATAGGTGGTAATGCTCATTAAGTAGTAAGCATATCAGAAGGGAAAACTAATTTTAATTTAATCCATTAAGTAGCCACTATAAGAATAGTTCTTCCACAAAGGTAACATTTAGAGCTATAGTTTCATCATGAACTGCAGCAAAATTACTCAGAACTTTACCTTGATATAGGAGCAGTATTTGAAACGCATTCCCAGTACCAGCTAATGTCTCTTGTTACTTATGTATCAAAATGAGAAGAATACAGATTTGAGAAATGTAAATTTTTGTTCCATGACTGTGAAATTGTAAATACAGCATATGGAAAAGTTATGAAATCCAATGCTTTGAGGGTGGGAGCTGGAAAATGTATCAGGGTTTAGTTTCTTTTTTTTGTTGTTGTTCTTTAATTTTTATCTTTGCGATTTTGCAGCGGCACAATAATGGTGATTCTTCCTAGAACATATTGCCTCTGTATACCACCTTGAACTCCAACAAGTGGTAGAATTAAATAGTAGTATAAAGCAGATATGACTGTAACAATCATGTGTAGGATTGCATATACGATCTATTAATATGACAGACTATTAATTCACCAATTCAGTGCTGTAATATGTACTTCATGGTGTTTAATATTGCTAGAAATATTCAGCATTGATAAAATTTACCTTGGTGTGCAAGATCCGAAGAAAGCCCAACATATTGCTGAATCTTACATAAACTCAAAGATATTTAAAACCTAAAATGCTACATATGCTTCTATGAGGTCAATACAATGAATCTCATTCTGCACATCTTAAAAACATCCATCTGCTTCTCTTTTTCTCTCTGTAAAATATCATGGGAAAAGAATTTTTCCAATAAATTAAAGCTCTTTAGATATATATTTTTTAAGGACTCTGGGACAAAATACACTTATTGCCTACATTTATGGCTATATTGTATATTTGAGAAAGGAAGACACCAGGCATTAGCAAGTCTGTGAGTTATAAATGGATCTCCCTGTAATGCAGCCACCATATATGCATAATCTGAGTGTGTGACTGTGCAGGAAATACAGGAGAAGAGAAAGACAGATCTAGCAGCACAAATGGGAGAAATGGCACATAATGTTCAAGCGTAGCAGTTACTTCAAATAATGACCCACTCCAGGTAAGTCTTTACCAGTAAGTTAACATGCCCATGCACTGACATTAAATTGCACAAAACATCCTACATACACACCGGAAAACTGTTTCAGCCTCCAGAATTGGGTGACTGCCTGCAACCTGCCTGCTGGGAGTGTTTCCTTGGACATTCCAACTGCTGAATCACTTATGGGTGCTGTTCAACAGCTGGCCAAAGCATACAGCAGAAAATTTAAAGAGGTCACTAGTAGAAGCAGTCATTCTTCGATGGTGGGAAACATTCCAGAATTGCTTGAATTTACTGAACTAAAACAAATGCAGCATCATACCTTTATAAGCTTCTGAAGAATGGACTAGAAGTACACAAACAGTTTAAGAAACATGAGGTAAATTTGACTCTTCAAGATACTTAAGCACTGAGTTATTTACAGAAAGTGGGCACTCCTATCAGCAGAATCTAAATGTTTTGGTTTTTACTTTTTTTAACTTAGAATTATTTAAGTCTCTAGCATCCTCTTGTTTGGCTTTTTTGAAGTATATAATGACTATATATTTACACAGGTACATGACACAAGAAAACACATTTTGTTTTCTAAACAGCTCTTTCCAAAGCTGACACAGGAACCTAAAATAAATATCTTCTTTTCTGCCCTTTTCTGAAGCAAGTTATTTACGAGATTTTAAACATATCAGGTCTTCACTTAGTAGGATATTTTCTATTTTTATTTGTGTAGCTCTTCAACACAGCTGGTAAGACTAAGAACTGACTATCAGTAGGTTTATGAAAATTGAAACAGTTTATTATGTAATTTACCATTATAATTGCACTTCAGTGAAACCTCACTGAGTTAGTGGGTAAATAACTGTTGTGATAACCACTGAGTTAACCCTTTACTCCTGCTTCCTTCCCAGGCACCCAAACTGAAAGACAACCTGCATTATGACGGTCAAGAAAAACATCTCAGTATATTCAATAAATCAAACCATTTAGTTTCAGATACTTTCAATAGTGAAAGTAAAATATGAGCTTCAAAAAGGGATATTAGTGATATTTACAAAATTAGTGAAAAAGTCAATCATTCAGTCTTTTCATTACCCTTAGTCCAATGGCCGGAATATTTATATGGCCAGATGAAACCTGGTATGCTACCCTACCTGCTGCAGAAATAGCCCACATGGCACACCCATACTTTAGCTACTGGGCCGATCTTTTACCTGTTCTCCCGCAGAAAAATTTCATGTTGATCTAGGCAATATTTAAATATTTTTCATAGTGACAGGAACATGAATGCCTCAACTTGTAAAATAAAAAGCTAACCACAATGATTTGAGTAATGTTTTTCATATAAAATGTTAATAGCTTAATATTAAAAGATTGCCTCAAAATAGTCCAGGAATTTAACATTATTGAATTAACACTATCTAATTGTACCAGGTTAAATGGTAGATGTTGGTAAAAGTTTAAGCTATAAATCAGAAAGAGTTAATCTGTGATTCCTGTGTGCTGTAAGCATCATCTTTACCTCCAAGGTTTTCAAAGGGAGCTAGGTCCTTTGAAAATCTAGCCCTTAAAAACAAAACTGGTCTTAACATACTTTTTTTTTTTTTCCGCCCCCCAGGAAAAACTACTCAGAAAATTCAAGAATGTTAATTGTTTTAAATAGTTTATGTATTTACCAACGGCTTACTGTGTTTTTGTTCACAAAGAAACTTCTTTTATGGAAAAGAGTATACAACACAATTTGATGGTTCGTGGAATACGACAGCCCAGAACCCATCTGCTGCTGAAGCCAACTGCAACATTTATTAGGAATTATGCTATGCAAGTGCAGTTACCTTTTTTCTGAGAGAGAAATGCAAAAGTAGTAAAATGGATGTTACCTTATCGGGGAAAGATGGGTAAGAAACAGACAATGAAAGACGCCAAAAAAAGAAAAACCTAAATGAAGCTCCACCATGGAGAGAAAAGGAAGATTAGAAAACTGCCTGCAACCAGGCACAGATCTAAGAATAGTTTCCTGAATCAGGGTCCTATTACATTCAGCTAAGAACAACTCTATGTTTGTAACTTATAAATGAACAGGATCCTTCAAAATAAAGAGCTGATCAAACCCTGCTCCTAAAAAAACATAACCTATAAGGTTTCAAAACTGGACACTATGCTTATGTTGAAAATATATCTTCCAGAAAAAAAAAAAAGACCTACATCATTCCAATCATATTTATTATTAAGTAGTACCATATGAATTTCTGGAAAACTATTCCTTTGAAACTGAGATTCGGTGGTACAGAACCCTGGCTGGTTTTGTGGCAGGCAGATCAGAGGAATGATTGCATCTCCTCTCCACTTTGAAGAATAAAAACAGGCATCTACAAGCACAGAGATGGAACGTATGCCCCTCAGCCAGCAAAGAGTGAGCATCTTTCTAGAAGGGGAGAGAGGAAGGAGAAAAGAGAGACCTCGAGGATGAACAGACAAGAAACAGAGGGTTTCAGCTGGTAACAGACCTGAAATTCACAGACCACAGATGGAAAACAGTCGATGTAAATCTGCGTGCAGGAGCTGAAAGCAACTGTAAGTATGAAGTTGCAGTGAACTGGAAGTGTGCAGAAAATTATTTCCAGGATCCTAATCGAGGGCAAGTAACCTCCCAAAATGAACTATCTTGATCACTTGCTATTGTGTGGCCATATTTTAAGGCTGCTTCAACTGTATTATAATGTTAGGGTATTCTATTCATAGTCAACGTCCATTCAGCTGAAGAGAGTGCAAGCAACACCTTTGGCAATATCTGTATTACACATTAATTAGAAGATAGCACTAGAAACGTAATTCACCAAAACCAAATTCGGACCATTTGTTTAAGGTTGCAAAGAAAAAGAATAATATAAAATAAAGGCATACTTGTAATATTGCTCCTTTGACTAATTATTACAAAGTAACAATTTATCTTAGGGTCCCCACAGGTTTGTTGTCTCTTTCATTAAACGTTTCATGAAAGTAGGTCTAATATTTGAAATATTCCATTTGACAGTATTTCTGTGCAGAGTATGCTTTTCATACTAGTAGCAAAATAACGTGGCATGGAGTAACATGTTAGTATTAGAAGAGATCCTTGAATACAGAAATACAAGAATCTCAACAGAATCCTATAGTAAGGTGGACAAACAAACTCAAATTTCTTTTTTTTTTTAAGAATGGACTTTGTTCAGTTAGCAGAAAAGAAAACTAGCATCAGAAGAGACTGCTATGGTAACTTGCAGAGCTGGAGGAGAGGAGTGCTGCTATGACAGCCTCATGTAAAGTGGGATCCTGTTTGTGTTGTGGGGAAACAACTGTGCAGCCTACCCCCACACCGCAGCTGTGCCTAGCCCTGGCAGAGGACAACACCTGAAGATCTGGAAAGCCATTTCTGCTAGCCATTTGCAGTCCCAGGTTCTTATTTTGTGGTTCATGTTTTTTATTTCTATATGTGTCCGGAGATCTTGAATGATTATTAACAAAATAACTACAAGTAACTATTCATTTTCCACTAGTCCTTAGGCATAATTTTCCAACTATAATTATGCTCTGTAATACTGTCATGCTATAACTCCACTATCAATGTTTTCCAAGGCCTATTTCTATATATTTCATCAAGCAGACACACAGTCTTGAAATTGAAATTTCTATATCTAAAGAGGTGCTGTGGTTTGTGCAGGTGCTTATGCACTATTTTCTACTGAGACCAGGCCACACTTCCTCCATAGAACGTAACTTTAGTAAAGTTTAGGACAGTCAAACAACTGGTATCGGGGAAGTACTTGGCAGAAGTTTGACCTAGAGCTGGCAAAAGTATTGTCATGGAGCGGTCCAAAGAGAAAATGTATAGAGAATATTTTGTTTATTTTACCCATCAAAATCCTAGCTGGTAAAATAAGAAAAGTTGTGGGTTTTTTTTCTTATGCGAGTGGAAAGTAAAATGTAGGTATAAGTTGCCAAGATCCACATTTTCTAAAATCTCAAAGAATACTGCCATCAGAAATTGTGAACACTGAATATCCCTATGGTTTAATTAATATTTTAAATATAAAACCATGCTTTGATAAACATCTCGGCAGTGTGTTAAACTAATACAACACACTTACAATGCCACCATTTCCAATCAACAGCATTCATTTTTGTGGTCATCTAAGACATGATTCACCATTTCAAAACTGTCTTAATACACATAATTTAGTTTTTCAACGTATACCATGTTCCCATAAACAGAGCTAACACCGAGTTCTGTATCTGCATGATTACCAGTGAGAATCCATCTTTCTTAGGAATGTGGCTACAATCTGAAGACGGTTAGATTAGCATTAAATTCAAAGTTTCTGGCTGCTGAGTTAAAGCATGACTCATTCTGGCTATATAAAAGTATTGGATTAGAATCGATCCAGCATGCCACCGTATACGAGCAGACAATTTTGTTTCCCTGTCATTTAACCATAATAAATTGCCCGTGCAAAGCGGCTCCCGCACGCAGTTTTGCCAGGTTGGATCGTGCAGCAGCTTCCCGACACGCGGGGATGGGATGCGCGGTCAAGCCGCGGCACAGCCCTCCCGCTGCCCCCGAGTCCTGCATCGCGCCTTGCAATTCCCCACACACCGCCGGCTGTTCTTTCTTCGAACGGCGTTAGCTGATTTGCTAAGTAAAGGCAATAATTCATAAATCGGCGAGCGGTGGCTACGCCTCAGCCTAAGAGCTAGCACGAGAAGCGTGCCGAGCGGCCACCCCGGGCGTTTTAACACGCGCAGCCCCCGCCGAGGGGCGGTGAGGGGGCTGCCTCCCCTCAGCGCCCGGCCGCCGCAGCCCCCTCACGCACGGCGGGGCAGGCGGGGTCCTGCCACCCCCCCCTCACCTGTCGTCGCTCTGCCAGCCCTGCTCGCCCAGCAGCAGGTCCCGAAAGCGGTACCGCGGCGGCAGCGGGGGCACCTCGCTGTCCAGGTCCACCATCCTGCCCGGAGGAGGAGGAGGAGGAGGAGGTGGCGAAGCGGCGCTCCCCGGCGTCCCCCCTCAGCCGCCGAGCCGGGGGGCGCCGCGCCGTCCCTCCGCGGGTGACGGTCGCCGGGGGCGGCGGTGGGGCGGCCTCGGCGGCGCGCACCCACCCAGGCAGCCCTGGCGAGCACGCGCGCCGCCCGCCGCCGTTGACAACAAAGGAGCTGCCCGCCGCCATGCAAATGTCGTTCGGAGCCGCCGCCGCCGGGCCAGCCAATGGGGTGGGCGCTCATTAGCATATTCAAGCAGGAGGGCGGGGATTTCTGCGCTGCCGGCCAATGGGAGGCGCCCCGCAGGCACGAGGGGCGGGGGCTGAGCGGGCCCTGCCGCGGGGGGCTGAGGCTGAGCCCCCGCTGGTGGCAGCTGGGGGTGCCCCGGTGCAGGACCCGCGCCAGGGATGCATCGCCAGTGTAAACCCTGTTTGGGTTTGCTCCTTTGGTTTTGGCTGTTCCCGGCTGTAGGGCGCCTCTGCGCAGCCCCGCGTTACTGACAGCTGTTCAGCCGAGCCCGCTGTCCCCTACCTTTGTCCCCTGCCCACCTGGAGTCCCTTGGGTTACAGCACGGCTCTGGTACATGGCTCGTCCTGCTTCGTGCCAGCTCTCTGAAGCCACACGTGCAGACGCGGGAAGCCACTGGTGAGCTGGTGCTGTAATGGTTCAGGGCTTTGTCCAACAGAGGAGGAGCAGTGCCCAGGCCCTGTGAGAACCCAGGGGGTGCGCAGCCACGCAGCCGCCACGGCTGGCTCCCCAAAAAGGGGCTCTCCTGGCCCCCCAGTTTGGGCTGGTCTATCTGCCGAGGGAGCACAGGCACCTCTGAAATGGCAAAAGGGCTTTCATGCGTCCAGCACAGTCCCTTTGTGGGGATACTCCGGGGTCGCTGAGGTTCTTGAGCAGTGCCTGGTGGCCAGGTGGCTCTGCCTCGCCTGTAGGCTGACAGGCCTTAACGAAGGGGCAGAGCTGGCAGAGGGGTCATTTGTACGCTTCCTCTCTCCCTGGCTACTTATTCCCCACACATACCGAATTTGGAACCCATGCAGCTGAAAAATAACTTTTTTTTTTTTTTTTCCTCTGGGTTAATTTTCATTTCTGTCACTTTCCCAAGGCCAGGTTCACCCTAAGTGCTGGCAGAAGAGCTAGTGCAGCTACAGCGGAGCAGCAACAAGCCATCACAAGATAGGGAAGACTTATTTATCTCAGCAGTAGGTTTGTGTGAGTTTAAAGGTTCAATAAACTACAATTTTAGTTTTCTGTGCAAGCAAGCATCAATCAAACAATTCTTATTAATATATGTGGGTGTTTTGTACAATCCTTCGCCATTTTTTCCTATACTTTTTCAGTGTAATCATCCATCTTATAAGATTTGGCTATATGTTGAATGTGTAAGATTATATGTGGATATAAAAATTTATTTTACAGAATATAATCTGATGGAAAATTTACTTTCCTTGTTAAAAAAAAAAAATACTAGTTGCGTACTAGCATTTTTTTTTTTTTTTTTTTTTGAGGCCAATACAGATCAGACCAACAACTAAGGGCATCAAAGCAGACACTGGAATGTTGTTTTTTTCTCTCTCTCTCTCTTCTCACAAAAGCGGACATCTTGGTTTGTACTTGAATTGGTTCATCTCTGAAAACGTTTCTAGCGCATTGCTTCCCAAGCCAAATTTTTTTCTGTGCTAGTAACTGTTTTGAGTGAGACCAGACTGTACCATATTTGAGTGATATTGTTGAAATCAAGCAAGTAATCTGTGGATGACCAAAGTTGCAATGTTCGTCTTAAATCTTATTTTACTCCTTTAAAGTCTCTGAATTGTGCAAGATAAAGAAAACTGAACATTGAAATTTGTGGCCAATGACTGAAAGTGGGAGACATTCTAGGAACTACTCTAACTTCCCACGTGACTGAGGAAGTGCGTATTACCAATATGAAGATCTCTTTGAATTCACTGTCCAAATTGAAATAGCAAAGAAAGTTTTTTAGATTTCTTCTTAAAGGTACACTGTAATCTAGACTGTCATATGTATTATAGTCATACTCAGTATGCAATGCCACAGCTGTAGTAAACAAAAATACTGTTACATTTTCCCTGACTGTCATGATTTGCCTTCCCTGGTTAGGTCTTCTTCTAAGCTCTTCAGTAGTAGTGTTTCTTTATTAAAATGAAGTAACTCACGGTGTGACACTGGTGTAGTGTTGAAGTTTGAATGAGGTTTTTAGTCTTTGCCGGTTCTGGGACAGTGAGAAGTTAATCCCTAAATGTGGTCTAAATACTGCATGCTTACATTCATTTTGTGCATTGAAGATTGAGCCTTCTATCTTCCATCCAGTTGGATTTCTGTGTTGAAAGTAAGCTAGTTAAAAGCTGGCACAAATGGGATCAGCTGACGCATGGCAAGTGTGTGTGGAGTGTACTGCATAATAGTGATGTGCCCTGCTGAGAATCTGACTTTAAGCTTCATACTGCTATGGACAGATTTCTACAAGTGACCAAGATGACTAACTGGGGACTTGGGTTATCTCTTCTGTTGTTACAGACAACGCATCTTTCATTGTTTCTTTAGTGTAGAGTTCTAAAGCACTGCTTCTCTGATTGCTGTTTCTTAGAGAGTGGGATGTTGTAGCCCAAGTCTTCTAAAACGTTGGGATAACAGGGGGATGATGCTTGCCCTTTTTCAGAGCTTGTTGCATTCACAGTTCACAATGTGCTTCTCATAAGGGCTTGTTAGATTAAGCAAGACAGATGCACATATGTGCCAACAGTTCAAAGGTAAGTCACTCTTTGCTTTGGCTGATATGAGAAATAAATAACATAGTGGATTAGCCTGCTGCCACATTCTTGCCAGTTTTACCATGCTGCATTCTGAAGTCAGAGTTCTCTAAAACTCTAATTTAAAAAACAAACAAAAAAGTACAGGATCTTTTTCCATTAGAATATTTGTTATGTGCAGTTATTTTTTTCTTCTTAGCTGTTTCTCCACCCAAGCAAGGTGTCTCTTCTTAGAAAACATTGTTTCCTTGCTCTGCCCCTGTGTTTTCTCATCTTGCGAAAACTTGGTCTCTGTGTTTATTCCCTCACTTGAAGCAGAGGGAAACTGTATATTATAATGATCTGTTGTACAAGTAAAATAGGGTTTAGGCTAACTATAGTCCTTTTCTGAAGTCTGTGAATCATAGGTCAGATGAGAAATTAATTGTGTGTCTACTGTATCTTCTAACAGCCTCATTAATTTTTCCACCCTAATTGATTAATCTAACATTTGTTTTCATGCTTGAGGAGCTAAGTAACAGTAGAAGCTTTTGCATTTCTTCTACCACAGAAATGCTTTTCAAAATGGTAGTAGGTATCTGGCATACTAGCACCCTGGTAAATAGCTGAGCAGAGTAAATAAAAAGCAAACTCATAACTGAGTCTATAGTCACTCAATATATACGGAAACTTAATTTTATTCTCTAAAGTAATATAAACTCTTTGTGTTATAAAATAACTGTTCTTCCTTTCTGACAGTATGAGGCCTAGTCACTCGTAAAAGTGACGAGGAAAAGTTTTTTTCAGAAAAGTTCTTAAGTATATAAAAATTGGACTTAAGTGTACAAAATTGGACTATACTTTCATATAAAATTAGGCTGTACTTTTTCAGAAAAGCTCTTAAGTGTATAAAATTGGGCAGAGCTAGGTTTTTAGTTATCTGAATCTAATATTTTGATTAGGACTTAAACCCCCTTGAACATCTTCAAGCTGAAGAGATACTGAATCTTCTGCGTGGAGATAAATGCTCTTATACACAAGCTGTTTTACTGGGTCACTGTGCTCAAGCTAGGATTTCTTTCTGCTATGCTTAAAGTGTTAAAGAAAAGCTGTGAGCTACACTCACTTCTTTCAAGGAATATGAGTTTTTAGTCTCATGGGATGGCAGCCCTGAGAAGTATCAGAAACACCTGTGACAGTCTTGGAAACTGAAAATAGACTTGAATTAATCTGTCTTCTTTAAACTTTTTTACTGATTAGGTACAGCTGGGTAACCCTGAAGATTAAGGGAGGCAGAGTAAGAACTTTGTTGCTGAGTTTTTTGCTAGTGTTTATATAAATCTTGGCTCATACTAAGGTATGGAAAATAGAAAAAAAGGATTTAATTTTCCTTTTTAGGTTACTCATATTTTTGTTGATGTATAGGTAAAAGCGTATGCTGGCACAATGTTAATGACTTTTATATGTTTTGGAACACTTGCAGTGTATATGGAGGTATATGTTATTTATTAATGATGTCTTTCCCGTTTATGTAAATCTGAACTGTGCATTTTGCTGTAATCAAGTAAACCAGATTAACTGGTTAGTTTTTGATACCTTCCTCAAAAAGATTGTATGTTTTTATTATTTAGTTTATTTACTGACACTGGAGCATTCTTTGCTGTTGGTGTTGATACCTACAGTTCTTCAGGTAAATCAAAGCAAAACCTGACTGCAAACAGTTAGAGTAGAATGTTGCCCATGATAAAGTGGTGTATTTTGATGTGTTGATGGTCCTTTGCATTGTGGAGATGAAATAGTCCTTATCAGACACAATTCTTAATTTCTGTTCCCTCCATTGCTTTTCAATTGTATACCAGATTCAGAGACAATAAATGTTGTCTGACATATCTGATAAGCTTATGATCCTATTGTTTTTATTCTTCTAAATAGTGTTGTTAGGTTGTGGTTAGACAGGAAAGAACACTGTTTAAAGATAAGCCTCTCAAACAAAAGGTGAAGAAGAAAAGGGCATGTATGAAACAAGTGCATACTAAATTATTTTAAATGGTTCTGTAATACTCAGCAGTAATTTGCACGTATTATCCTTTTAAGGAAGATGATAGACTAATATTGTCTTCAATATTCAGTTAACTCACTAAGTAGGCATATACAAGACGCTTCCCATAGGCCAGTAGTCTAGGCTGTAGTGAAAAACAGTAAGAGGAAATGTCTTCTCTGTAAAGTAGGCATGCTTTCTCCTGTTAGTCTTGTGGTGCTGGTAAATGGCTAAACATGATTTTAAAAAATGTTTAACTGAAAAATAAATGACAAAAACTCAAACTTATTTTGAAGCTTTTTTTTTTTTTTCTCTGCCCTGGTGCTTCTTAGATATCCCCTCCACCTCCTCCATCCTGGAACCAAGAAGT